AAAAAAAAAAAAAAAAAAAAAAAAAAAAAAAAAAAAAAAAGATGAGGATGAAGAACGATCCCACTTATCCATGGGAATTTGGAGAAATCATTTAAAGACACTTGAATTCATTTCAGAGGGCAGGAGTACATTTACAGTAGTAGCTGCACAGCTCACGTGGCCAGAGTTTCCAAATTAATTTTTAAACTGTCATTAGCAAGAACTGAGTGTACAGCTGTTGACAATTTAACATAACTCAGAAACAGACAACTGCACTGATACCAAATTTCTTAATGCATAATCATATTTGAAAAATATACAAAAGCCAAAGTTATTAGAGGAAATTAAAACCCAGTTTTAAAAAGTGCACAGTAAAAACTGAAGGTAATTACAAACTATCCACAGAGTGTACGTGTCCTGGTTTAGAGACAATACCAAGTTCTATCTGTTGGAAGTGCTAAATATTTTAAAGCCATGTACAGCACCAAATCAGTTCACACGAGACCCAACACCACCCTGCTTTCCGTAACAAGAGGCACCAGACAGTATCTGCACTCTCTTCAGCAGCAGCCTCCACAGACAGCTGATGAGCTGGGAGCTATCGGGTTTTGTTCTTTTTAGAGTTTCCCTGCAACAAGAAGCAACCAGTGAATACAATATATAATTCACTAAGAACACCTACACAGGAAACGCACGACCCAGGCTCTGATAATTTATGCCTACAGCAAGCAAAGGAGCACTGTAAAGCTGAAGATAAGCAGTACTGCTTCAAGTGCTTGCTCTGAAAATTCCTCTGTGCTTACAGGCATAACACAGGAAAGTACCAGAGCTTTCAAACAAGCACAAGAGCACCTTAATTTAATTGAAAATTATGAAAAAGACATTGAGTTGCATCCCACAACACTCAACTGTATTAGCACCATTTATATTGCAAAGCAGACTGAAGGCAGGTCCAGTCCTAATTTGACCCAGAGTGGTATTTCAAATATAAACCTTAGAGAATCAACGAGGCAATCGTCCTTCACCCTAACGTTTTGTCCCAAAACAAATTTAACTTTAGCTTGGACTAAACATTTGTATTTGAGAAAAGGATTTGTTTTACAACAACTTTCTTACATCTGATTTCCAACAACTCTACAATGCAAACATACAGCTTAAAAAAAAAAAAAAAAAGCACAGTAGTTTCTTTTTTACTCTTTCCTTAAAATAACATTTGTTTTTAAACCTAACCAACAAATCTGTTCAAATGATAATGGCTTTAAGCTGTATCACTTTCAATTGAGTTGTTTTCTATGCTTGGTAGCATCTGAAATACAAAAACAAATGTCTATTATTGGGAGATTAAAAGTCACTTCCTTAAAGACAGCGTATCCTTTCAAGTTTTGAAATTAGGAGAAGTGAAAAATCCACAAAGCATTTTATTTTTTGTATATTTTCATCTTTTATAACAACATGAAATGCTATGATCCGTGTACAGCTAAGAGCTCATACACCAAGAAATAGTCCTGAAGAGCCTGGTCAACTTCAAAGTTTAGATATCTGAAGAACTTGAAAGAATAAAGAAGATAAAATCACAGTAAAGGAGCTCTAATCTAAACACAGATTTCTCTTCCCCTCGCTGAAACCTGCTTCCCTGCATTCCACAATTAAGGAGGATTATTCATTTCATAACAAATCGAATGAAAGATAAAGACCTTCACAATGTATATTCCTTCCCAGAACCCCCAGGACAGGATATACCATGGTGTAAGCACCCTCTGTTCTATACAGCAGACTTCCACTTTTTTCATCACTAAGGTACATTGGAAAACCTTGCCTCTGGGTAAATGGATGGTTCCCTGCTTGGAAAAAGCTCAAGTGTGGTTTAAGAAAGTTCACGGAATGAAGCAAGTTTTTCATTCCTACATGAAAGAAACAGACAACCTAGACTATGGAAATAAAACAGAGCAGGAAGAAAATTGCCAAGAACCAAGTAACTGCAACTAGGATAAGAGCACAGGACAACGTGCATGACCAGACTTGGAGTTTTCTTTCCAGCTGGCCCAGAATAGAAACCACAGCTTGTGGATTGATTTGTGAAAGGGTATTACTGCAGCCATGGCAAAGGTAAACACAGAGCTCCCAACTACAGCCAGCATCTAGTGTCAACACTTGGCAACTGACCTTACTAGTCATCTTTAGTGTGTCAATTTCTTCCCTTTGTTTAGTTAGAGTCTCATTCATACTGCAGAGATGGTCACTCATCATACTTAACTGATCCTCATAACTTCTCTTTGTCGTCATCAATTCATCCTAGGGGGAAAAAGAAAAAAAAGTCAGCAGTTTGAAGCCTTTGTTCAATGTAAGAAAATTGCTGCTTTGCCAGTTGGTCCCATCTCTGCTGGAAGGTAAATGCAACTAAACCACACCACTGAAAAATATCACAGAAAGTCCATAGGTTCCCTTTTACCTGAAGACTCGTATATTGCCTGTCACCCTTAATTTTGATTGGTTTCCTTAATAATTTTCCCAACTCTTTGTAGCTTACATGAAAGTTGAACAGCTACATTTTCCAATATCACTTCTAGCCAAGTAACAAGTAAAATCTATAGGGTTAAAAAACACCACATGTACATGAACAAGTGTGGTAGATGAAGCTCAAGGAGTCAGCAACCCATATACATTTGCAGTGTGACTGTGCCTCTAGAATTAGAGATATGGAAAACCTGTGCACTACTAGAACATAGCAATGACTAGATACAGACCATAGATACAGACAGGACAGGAAGGGGAGGAGTTGCACTCAATACAAATGCATGGTTTAAACACACAATGTTATAACTGGTATCTGTATACTTAAGTAATCTTCCCCTCACAGAGGGAAATAAGGCTAAAACAATCCTGTGCTTACACATACAGAAAACACAATTTTATAAAGCAGCCTTGACAGTGGGCTAAAAACACAGGCTTGGCCACTACAACAATTTCCTCGCAAGGATCTTCCACTTCAAGTGTGTTATTTCCATCTAGTCTCCACATACCTCTATTTCTTACACCATATTACTAAGGACCAAAAAAGCACAACTGCAGCTTAGAGGTTTCTTCACCTTCCCCTTATACACAATTACCTTAACAAGCACATCTATTGCATCACTTAACATCTTACTTGCCTGTAATCTACTGATGCTTTGACTAGCCAGTTTCAACTCTTCTGTGAGTGATTCCTTGGACTTCTCTGCTAAAGACAGTCTTTTGGCAAGTGCTCGACACTGGCAGTTAGAGCAGCATAGGGAAGACAGAAGGGAAGAAAGTTAGTTCCAGAGTGTTATATTGTGCCATCTTTAACTAAATGCTTCGAGTCTTTCCATCTTTTTGTAATCCTCAGATATCAAGAAACTTACTCAGAATCTGCACAATTTTAAATACAAAGATAGTGAAATAATTAACAGTAAACTTGTTTTTATTTTACAGATTTTCCATATTATTAAGTGTTCTGTTTTCATCCCATTACCGTCAGGAAATATTTCATAGAAAGCAACACAAACATCTCACTTTGTACATTATTCAAGTATCATACAAAGATGGCTTACTATGTCATCCACTATCAAAAATTAATTTTTAGAAGTTGCTGTTAATCCTACAAGAAATATTCAGTATGTACAAGAATTACTTCTTGACCTAAAGTGAAAAGAGGAAGCTAGAGAGACCATGAATTATTTTATAATTCTTAAAAAAAAAAAAAAAAAAAAAAAAAAAAAAAAAAAAAATTCTCAAGGGAGCTATTTTCATTTCTTCATGATACATTCAAGTATTGAATGTTCCCAGCATCACTTTAAGATGAAACCAAAAATAGCTTTTTTGGCTAACTAAAACCAGCCATTTCAATTTATATCAACAGACCAATACACAATACACATTTTAATTCTTAAGCTTTTTTAGCCTTACTGGGTGACATTTTTCTTCCTGTTGTTTAAAGTCTTTCTGTAACATCCATTTTATGCATACCACAGACCACAGCCAAAAAATGTACTGCAGAAACACATTTTTCCTGGAATACGTACCATAGATTTAACACTTGCTCATGGAAAATTCAGAAGGGGATTTACTGTTTTCAGTAGAAACAACTGTATTCTCACCTCTGCATGAAAGTGTACTGATTTGCTGTCAGCAAGCTGTAGATGGGATGTAAGTTCTGCTATTCTTGCCATATAGTGTTTTTTAATCAAGTCTTCACGAGATTCAACATCTGGAATCTTATAAATATAAATGACTGTTTAATTTTTTGTTTTAATAGACTGAATACTTACACCACAACACTGTCCTCTATACTGAATCCCCTTCTGTACTGAGGCCTCCCAGTCATATCCAAAAGCATTTATTTCCCCAGATCACAACAAATTACAGGAGGTCAGCTGACATCAGCACATACTTCCTTTAAGGACCAAGGATGCAAGAGGTTTGCTTAATTTAAGATATGAAGTCTGATGATGAACCCACTGCAAAAGCTCATTCTACCAAATTCAAGAAATCCAAACACTTACTGGCTTTTCTCTTTAAGGAATAATTCTTCTGCATAACTAAATTTCAGAAGCTACTAAACTGTAAGAACTACAACTAATGTCGCACGCTCTACAAGATCATTTAAGATATATTTTTGTTTTGTTGTTGATATTTTGTCTAAGCTGCTCCTATGTTTCTTTGAGAACAACTTCTGGTTTGGAATAGCCTGTACTTATGTGTTAAATACAGGGCACTTGAGCCAGCAACTTCCTCTCTCCCCAGCCTCAACCCCTTTCTCAGGTATTAAGAATTGAGGCTTTGAATCCACTTCTGGTTTCTAAATACAAAAAGCAAGACCCTCCTTCAGGTACAGAGCACAGATCTGGACGAGCTTGCACTGCTCCAAACTGCTAGCACGAATAAGAGCTACAATTCATGACACAGAAGAATATTTAAAAGACATACAAAAACAAACAAACAGAAATATCATTTTAGAAACCTGAAAATACAGTACACAAACTACCTGAGTGACTTATGTCATTCTACTGTTATTTTTAATAGTTAATTACACCTTCGGAATAACATTGAGTTTTAAATTTTTACTAGATACATTTTGATAACATTTAAAAGAGATTACCTTCTCGTTATCAGTAGTTATAGTCAACATCCCAATCTAAAACAAGGAAGACAATATGCATGAAGTGAAAACTGCAAGAACAGACATCAGTCATAAAAGGACTTCAGTCAAAAACAAATTCTTGTGACAGTTAGAATTAAGTTTAAGCATCTCTACCTGCAACATAAGCAAGGGTGGTGCAGTGAACACCCTGAATAGATCTTAAGGCGACACCAACTCTCCAAATACGAAATATCCCTTCTACATGTTAGGAGGTTTACAGGGTAACAGCAATGAAATCAAACAAGATCTAGTTAGCTTACCTGATTATAGCTCCTATATTATACACACATGAAAATTAGTGCTTCCGTGTATTGAGATGTCTCTTAATTACCCAGCTTCAAGAGCAAGGAAATCCACCTTGCATTTCTTGAGTACCTTCTGACTTCTTTTCTCTGCAGTTTGATTAATAAATTACACTGGCAGCTCAGTTTCACATACTCACAAAACTCCAGCTGAGATGTATGTGAATAACAAGTTTCACATCTGGCCCTTTACAAAGACATTCTTACATGTTTTCCTTGACCCAAACAGGACTACAGATTTATGCCTATGGGCAATGTTCACATGGTTTACTGACCTAACAGTTACAGGAAGCACCAACCAGAAAAAGCTGTCCTCCTTAAACTCCTAAAGGAGGAAACTCCAAAACTTCACATGACAGTTTATTTCAAAACTGGTTGGCCGTGATGACCTTAAAGATCAAATCTTTTCCAACCTAAATGATCCTATAAAAACAACTCGTTAGTATTTTTGTGGGCTATTATTTACCAACATACAAAGGCAAGACAGAATATATGCCATATCCAAAAGCACTGCTGAACCCAAGCTCTAAGAACTCAGGAAAGTTATGCAAAATTTATGATGCAGTGAACACTGGAAACTTGAATGGCTTCAAGTCCAAATTAGGTTATGCTACACTGACCTGTTCTTTCTTAATCCACTTAAAAATACTGATCACCTATTTCTGTTTGCTTTCACACACCTGCAAGGGAAGAAGTCCTGGAAACTCAGAGCCAATCTAAGATATATATACTCCTCGCAAGGCTTCCTAGCTGTAGTCAGAAGAGTCAACAAGTCAAGCACTTATTATTTCCCCCTCAGCCAATCAAGTACAGAACTACATGAATGTTTCTATTAATATCAAGATACTGAACAAAGTCTCAGAAGTCAAGAAGTTCCAAACACTGAGGAGAGTATCAGCAAACAGCTTTGCAAATCAGGAGCTTAAGCATGACTGCATTTCAACATCAAAAAACTGTCAATATTAACGTTCCATTGATCAAGTAGTGCTGTTGTCAACTACCATGTTTTTTTCTATTGAAGTAAGAAGTCACTTACCAGACTAGTACTTTTGATAGGTTCCCTCTGACTCTTCTCTGTGGTTTCCTCCTTTTGTTCAGCTATATTTGATAAAACAGAACACTCTTGAACAGTTTCAGCTAATTGTCCACTAAGAGAGTTCTTCAGCTTTTGGTTTTCCTTCTCCAGTTTTATTTTTGCTAGCTGGGCCTCCAACATCCAGTGCTCTTTCTCTTGTTCAAGTTTTGCAATTTTCTCCAAACTCTGCTGGACCTTTTGGATGGAAGTTCACAGTGCATCTTACTGAACACAGGAAAAAATACCCTCCAGGAGATGTTTGAAGACAGTACTATTTTAAACTATTATACAGGTGAGCTAGTAAGTAGTAGGCTGCTATCAGTAGGCTTAAGTGTGGTCATGTATCACAAATGACTCATCTAGTCAATGAGTCTGAAATAAGGGTTACCAGTTACTGCTCAAAGAGCCAAGGACAAATTAGATGAAAATCAGAGCAGGCAGAGGTTAGAAGAAAAACAGGAAAGTTTAAAAGATGTTTGCAGATAACAAAGCAATGCTGGTGCCAGGCACACAAGTGAAACACAATCCTTCCCTTCCCAGACATTCCACTGACACATACAGAAAACCCCAGCTTGTCCAAGTAAGGAAAGCTAAGGAACGTTATATAACCTATCCCTCCACACATTTCTATTTGAAGTCATCTCATCTCAACTAATATGGTCTGAATTGGTTATTACAAAAAACACCAAAGTCTTTCTTCCGTAGAAGTTAAAGGCCATAAGCACAGCAAGAACATTGAAGCTAATAGCTAAGTTTTAGTCAGTACATCAGTCAGTCTCACTCAGAGATGGACAGATTGCACAGGCCTTTTAAACACCACTTAATCCCCCTTTGCCTCACCTTCCAGAAAGAAAACAAACACATACTTCAAGAATGACGGGAATAAGACCTATTTAACATACTCTAAGAAAGTTGTTGCTATAAACAACTTCTGCATAGTCCAAGAAAACCCACTCAAAACAGTACACAATATTAAAACAGTTTGTACTCTTTTACTTCCAGAACTGTAAATAAGATATCTAGAGTCTTATTTTAAGACTCAGAATTTCTATTTATGTACAAAGCTACACACAGATTGACGACTGAATACTACTTTGCCTTTATAAATACATTACTAGGTATTAGTAAAATGCACACCAGGATACCTGTTGTGCGAGACCTTCTCTACTTTCTGTGGAACTCAGAAGGACTCTGCGATTGGCCAAAGCTTCTTCATAAGGCACTGAATCTGCACAAGGCTGCAGAAGAATAGGAAAAAAAAAAAAATCAAAATGTTTGACAGTAAACCAGAATAAGTGTTCTACATTTATTTTCTTCTTATCCTCGTTTCTTTACTAGAGGGAAGAAAAACATTTCTCCAGGTGTTTACCATCAGTAGAAAAAAGTTCCAACTTAAAAAAAACCCACCTACTCTCCATCAAAATGCACACCTAATTAAAAGGTGCTAAGAAAACTACGTGCTACTTAGTGATCAAAAGTATCTTTAGGTCCACTTGACAGACATCAGAACATCAAAGGGGAGCGATGATAACCCTTAAGTACACCTATATCACAACTTAGTTTTTAATTTTAATAGGAACTGCAGGAGATTTGGTAATGTTCAGTCTTTTAGTTCAGCATATTTTCTCTATCATACTTATTTCCTAACATCTGATTTCTTCTTCATTTGATCTCAACTGTCTTCAGTGAATGCAAATATAAAAATGATGCCACTTAATTCACATTCTTGGCAAACATGGGGGGCAGGATAAATCAGTAAAAAAGATCAGCTCAGGACCCTCCTCAATACAGAAGTTACTCATGGAAATGGTAACAGCAGAACCAACACATACTGTCAGTTTTGAGAGCAACTATGCTCTCAGATTTCTTCAATACCATTATTTCTCTATTTCTCTATTTTCTCATTGAGAAAAATGCTTTCCAAAAACTGGAAACCATTGATTTGTATTCTCTTTGTTACAACTGAAGAGCAAGCTAATTATCTCTATGCAAGCACATGAACCGAACAAACCTTCTTCAGAGTCTTCATATAGGCAACTGCCTTTTTCTTGTACTGCAGCATACACTCTGCTGAAAGAGGGCTGATGAACTCTGTTCCTCCTTTTGGGCCATAGCTCAACGAAGAAGTGAAGTGATCCAAGTTGTTGCTAAAGAACGAAGCAATCTAGACATACCAAGAGAAGTCACTTTCTGAATTAAGCTGAACAGAATGACTTGTCAGAGCAGTTACATGTTTAAGTGAGGGAAAAGCACTTAGTGAAACTGGACTTCACATAGCTCAGACGTCACTAAGGCAAAACATCCTTTTCAAGGTACCTACTATTATCACCTATTGTTTTTAATGTACAGCACAAAAATACCTTAGAATAAGTCTGAATATAGGTAGGAGTACTGAAGACACATTTACATTTCTCAAATCATTCTTTTTTATTAAAGAAAGAAAACGCTCAAGTTATGGCATTATATTTAGACAAAGTTTCCATTACCTTGCCTATTCCATTTGTTAAAGACAAAATGGAGGACAAAATACAGTCATTTGTAGTTATGAGCTTCTGTGTGGCAGTTGGAACATCTTGTTCTAGTGTAGCTTTTTGACTGTAGTGCTTGGAAATATCTAGAAAAATAAAAACATTGATATCATTTATGTTTTTGTCTATTTAAGTGACCATTTCCAACTTCAGCTTGTGACACTGAAATTTGAGTACTTCTACCCTCCTTGAGTTGAATAAATGTTTAGTCTGGGTACTCTTAGTTGTTCCATAGATTGCCATAGATGGTTGTTCATGATCAGAACAGACATTGTATCACAGAAGGGAGAAGAAAGAGACATATTTAAGTGTGCTCTGTCCCAAAAACCAAAATTAAACAGGGAAGACAAGCTCCCACTGAACTCGCACTTTGTTCCAAAGTATATTTTCCACTTCCACATACTTATATCAGGACACTAGAGACAGACATTAAACATTACTAACAATTAGTCCAAAGCTTATGGAACTTAAAAGGGTAGGGTATTAAAATTGCCAGGGCAAATCTAGAAGGCTACGAAAACTACACAGCACAGCAAGAGGTATTCTAAATTTCTTTCAGGCAAAATTAACAGAATTGTCTTCTGAGGGTGGGGGAACAAACAAAGAACATCACTACCACCACACAGAGAACTTTCTGAAAGTAATTTACAAAGAAGCATTAGTTTCACAAGTGAATGTTTCACAGGTACAAAAATGAGAAATCTCAGGTCGTTATCACCAGAAGTTGTAACCTGATGCAAGCTTAAGGAATTGGAGTTACATTTGGGTTAGGGAAGGTAGAGAGAAACTACAGATCAATAATTCTCTTATGCGGGAGTCTGAGGTGTTGCAATGTTTCCATTGCTAACTAATGAGTTCTGAACTTTTCTTCAGACTTTCTCAGTCTTCTTTACTTCTTTTGTTAAGTACAACTTACGCTGATGTTACGTTAGAGAAACCATAACAAGAGGCAGAAGGCACACATCAAACTTACCTGTGCTGCAGTGCTGCCTGGTTTAGTAATTGACTGTGTTTGACCTACAAATCTCTAACGTAATCATTTAGTTAAACCAAAGATTCTATAAAATTAGGTAGTACTATTGACATTATTACTAACAGATTAAAAAACAAAGCATCTTGTTTAAATTAAGACCTTAATATTTATACAGCTGACTGGTACCAAACCAGTTCAACTACAGTAATTACTCTCCCCAAAATAGTGACACAGGAACAGATGTTACAGGATACATAGACACATTATTGCTTTAAAACTCCTTGAGTGTTAACCAAACAGTACTCCATTAGAAATGCAACATATCCACGTTCTTTATACATAAGGAGAGTCGGTCATTTAGAAGGAAGAAGTTCTGTTTTAATTTTGAAACCAACTCCCTCATCATCTCTGGTCATACAATCATATTTAAAAAAAAAAAAAGTGTCATCAACTTGAAATCTAAGAAAACTTCCATTTTGATGATAGTGCCAGGTCAACATTATATAAACAGGGAATGCATACATATAACATTCCATTCTGTATATGTTCAATTACAGCAATACAGTTCAGAAACTAAGGTGCCACAGCTCAAAAATGGTCTAGAGTGTCACAATTTAATCTTCCAGAAACTTACAAGAAATAAACTAACAGAACAGAGTACCATAAAACATTTGGGGGTGACAAAAACTTGTACTCAGCAGGTTTGGTGTCAATCTATAAAGGCAAAAAAAATCAGATTTACTATGTACCACACATTTAACACTGTAACAGAGAAAGTTGATGTTTGCTGTGTTGAAAGACTAAGGATGAAAACTGAAACCTACTACTACTCATGTAGCCTCACCTTTCAGGATGTCATGAGACGCATGAAGGCTTGCAGCAATGTTTGTAAACACCAAGCTGTAATTTGTTCTAAGTAGTCCTTCTGGTTTCGTACCTAAAAGTACCACGAAAAAGGAAAAAAAAAGTTAGAACTCTATCATTAATGAAAACATTAACTCTAAAAATCTAAGACCGGTTTCTCCTAGCCTCAAAGCAACTGAGCCCAAGCTGGCACTTACTTGGTAAAGCAAGAAGACTAATGTATGTATGCAGCTTCTCAAAGATCGCCGTCAACCTTTTCATGTCTCTGTGTAGCTCCATATTTCTTGCTTTTAAAGCAGCTGTGCAAAGAGAAGACTCACACTCTTCTTCCAAACTAGGAATATGATTTTTAAACACACAAAAACACAAATGAGCAAATCTCTTACATAAGAATTTCAGGATCTTGGGGATAGATAGGTAGTTCTTTCTACACTGCCATTCCAAAGAAGCAATGAAGAGGTTATTTTAGAAAGGCTAACTTATTGGAGTTACACAGCAAAGTTACAAAGAAATTATAAAAGCCTTCTTAACCCAAATCCTCTTTTTAAGTCTTCTTTTGCACTGACAAAGTACCTCCCTTTGACCAACTCAGGAGCACACATTTTCACTACAGAAGGGATGTGCATCCAACAGGTTTTGCTATACATACAGATTAACAAAATCTTCAGACAGGCCCAAGAAATTAACAGTTCCAGTGTATAATATCTGCATAGTATCAATACTATTGAGTAATACAATTAAGCATTAAAGTCTGTACAGCTTTTATTAAAGCCACATCTTCAAGGGGAGAAGTTTTAAAATATAGTGGTTCAGTTCTAATGCCCACTGGAAAAAATGCCAAAAAAAAAAAAAAAAAAAAAAAAAAAAGCATAACAAAGGCTCTAGAAACAGTATGCAAAGAAAATTTCTGCCTTTAATCTAAGGTGCTTTAAGGTTTGAGTTAATATTTCAGTTGTAGACATTGTCAATGTTGCAAATCTGACAGTGCCCCTTCAATGTGATCTATTAAACAAGTTTTAAAAGTACCTTTTTAACTGATAAGGAAGAATCTTTCTTAAAAAGCATAAGTATGAAGCTAAGTGTTCTGAAAAGGCCTTCAATTTCACAGCTGTTTCCTAGGAAGAAAAACAGTGTAAGTATTTCTGCTCTGTTAAAGTCTTTTTTAATACTGAAAGTAAGAAATCTTACCAGGACTGTCACAGTATCTTCTGTAATACTCTCAAACAACTGAAGCATTCCTTCCTCCAGAGGGCGAACATAAAAAGCATTTTCATGAAGATACTGTGAGAACTGAGTACAGAGAGATATTTGAGATGGTGCTTGCTGAAGACTCTCAAACTGTTTCACATTTAACAATAGAAAAGTCAATTTGAACACAGTATCTATCACTTTAAATGATCCCCAAAACATCAATAATAAAATCAAGTGATGTACAGCCCCCTCCTCCACATAGCACACAGACATACACCTTGAGGGAAAGCAAAGACAGTAATGGAAATCCAGGCAAACCCCTCCCATGTACTGCTCTGTCACAGCACCTTATCTACCTATACCTGTCATGCACAGTACACCTGGGTTTTTGACTGTAAAAAACTTTGTGTTACTTGCTCAACTACATCAAATTAAGGCTAGGACACTCAGTAGGTCACCAAAACAAGCTGTGCCACCTTCCTCTCACCTACTGTTTTATCAGCCCTTGTGCTATTAATCAGCACAAACATTTCAACAGTTCTGCTGTGCAAAGTAGTGAAGAACTGAACTGAGTTAGAACTGACAGCAAGAGAAATGTATATATTTTATGTTCTCAGTCCAGTCCTCCATGTGGGCAAAAGTATGCTTATGCCAGTGTAAAGGATGGAGGGGTAACTGAGCAAAGTAGGAAAGGCTGCTGTCAGCAAATGTGACAGTTAAGAGAAATCCTGAAACTCTGGCTTCATTGCACTGCCCATCTTTCCTAAAATATGCTTAAATAAATTTTATAGCTAATTTATCCTCCAAAAAAGTATGCCACAGAACAGAAATATTCAAATATTCACTCAACCTCTTCAAAATAAACACTGGCGGTACTCTCAGGTTTAAAAAGTTTAGCAATGTAGAGATACGTATCACAGCACTAAAGAACCTTTTCTGCAATTGATACTGGCCACCACAATTCACCCCAAAGAAAGATACTTTCACCTTTGGTTATTTATACTACAACAGCAAGTAAAGATCCCAGGCAAACAGGGTACAAGAAATTTTTCTTATTATTATTATTATGCTGCAGTAACACAGTGTTAACAAGAAGAGATGCCAAGCTCTTATGCATGCACAAATCTGGATGGAATTATGGTCAGTTCTTAAATCTAAGGAAAAAAGAGCCGCATGCAGAAAGCTCCTGCCTCGTGTTGCAAGGAAAAAGACTGGAATTATCTGGCAAGATGCTGAAGCCCCAGCAGAAACCAGCAATCCAATGCTTAAGGAGAAAAGGAATACTTGAACCTGGAAAGGAATTGTCCACATCTATTTTGAGTGTCTGGTGGGGAAAATAGCTTGAAAACGCCAGACAAGACCTGGAGTTGGGGAAAAACAGATCAGCGCAAGTGTGCTAAGTCACTGCATGATACTTGTTTCATTTTCTGCATTAAGAAAGGCTTCTGAAGCACTCGGCGCAGAAGCTAAGGCCACACTGAGAGTATCTGCCAAGCAACTAGGGGTGTTAATTGAAGACATAGGAGCAACAGCAGCTTCAGTGACTGACAAAGGAGACTTTGTTGCTGGGCAATCACCACAAAAGCTGTGAGGTAGGATGCACTAAAGCATTTAGCTCACAAACATACAAGAATAAAGGTAGGCTACAAGAGAATTCACGATGACAAAACCTAAACAACTATCCAGAGAGAAGAATCAGAGTTGGGAATAAGTTGCACCTTTCAGCTGTGTGAAAGCACTTTTATCTGCTGAAAAACAAAGAACTGCTGATTAGGACATTAAGACAAAAACATACATGAGAAATGATGTCTATGAAAGCCAATTTATCTGACCAGAGCAAACAGCAGTTATGTCTGTGGAATGCAATCACCACACTAGGCCACATAAACAAGGAGACTCAGTTTCTGCCCCAAAGAACTTGGAAGATAACAAAATTACAGTTTTTAAAAGAAGGATGTGTCATTCAGAGTATTATTAGTGAAGCAAGAATATACTATTCTCAAACAAAGATCAATGTTGAACCTCTGGGAAAGCTTATTCTTTATTATATACATAGAAGGATTGAAAAAGTAAATTGAATAGGATTTCTCTAACTGATAAATATCCACAAAAGCATATTCATTGCCTGTAAGGAGATTAATGAAGGTCCTTCACAGAACAGTCCTTAACAGAAATGTTTTGCAACAGTTTACATTCGCTTCTACAGGTGTTATACAGCCATTCAATGAAAGAGATGAACAAGACTTCAAAGTCTGAGCCATACAAACTACTAAGCTGAAATCACAGAACACTGGATCATCTAGCAACTTTAATGCATGTTCGTCTGCTGATGCTACTTAGACAACAACTCAGATGTTAAAGCAGTTTTATTCCAAAGCATATTATACATGGACCTCCTGCACAAATATTTGTGCACAAAATTATCATCTGTGCTTCATGACATAAAAAGAAAACCTCAAAAGATGCAACTTGAGAACTCTGGAAGATATCCCTATGAAGTCACCCCATTGAGTTGTGAAAGAAGAGTCAGGTCAGATTTCTCAATGTCAGCGTACTTCAGGTCATTGCAGAATCACAGAATGGCCTGAAAAGGACCACAATGATCATCCAGTTCCAACCCCCTGCTATGTGCAGGGTCGCCAACCAGCAGACCAGGCTGCCCAGAGCCACATCCAGCCTGGTCTTGAATGCCTCCAGGGATGGGGCATCCACAGCCTCCTTGGGCAGCCTGTTCCAGTACTTCACCACCCTCTGTGTGAAAAACTTCCTGCTAATATCTAACCTAAATTTCCCCTGTCTCAGTTTAAAACCATTCCTCCTTGTCCTATCACTATCCACACTCATAAACAACTGCTCCCCCTCCTGTTCATAAGCTCCCTCAAGTGCTGGAAGGCCACAATGAGGTCTTCCCAGAGCCTTCTCTTCTCCAAGCTAAACAAGTCTAGGTCCCTCAATCTTTCCTCACAGGAGAGGTGCTCCAGCCCTCTGATCATCTCAGTGGCCCTCCTCCTCCATGAGCTCTACCCCCTTCCTTTACTGGGGGCCCCAGGCCTGGATGCAGCACTGCAGATGGGGCCACACAAGAGCAGAGCAGATGGGGACAATCACCTCCCTCTCCCTCTGGCCACCCCTTTTTAAATGCAGCCCAGAACACAGCTGGCCTGCTGGGCTGCAAGCGCACACTGCTGGCCCATGTCCAGCTTCTCATCCACCAGGACCCCCTTGTCCTTCTCCGCAGGACTGCTCTCAAGGAATCTTCCCCCAATTTGTATAAAAACCTGGGATTGCCCCGACCCAAGTGCAGCACCCTGCACTTGGCATTATTGAACCTCATTAGGTTTTCATGGGCCCACTTCTCCAGCCTGTTCAGATCCCTCTGGGTGGCTTCCTCTCTTTCTAATGTATTGACAGCACCGCTCAGCTCGGTGACTTGAAGCTTCAGAACACTTACAAGGGAGCTCTTCACACAGGCAGCCCAAAATAAATTATTTGACAAGTGAACAGTCTCCTTCATAAACCTAGCTTACATCCAGTTTATTTCATGCTGTAGTTACACCATATTCCATATGTGTTTTACAACATATTCCATACCCCAGTACATTTTCCTACTACTTGTCCAGCTAAGACAAGCATCCAGGTAGCAGTGCAATATTTAAATAATCAGCTCAACTCTTCAACAATGCACTTCCATTTAACGTTTCAAAAGCAAAACTATGATTTGATGACCATGCTGCTGGTCTCCATGCTGTCATTTTAACAGCGGCATAGAGGGAAAGGAATCTTTGCACCCACCCCTTTGCACACGGAAAATCCACCCAGCAGAAAAGACCTCCCATGCAAGAGAGCTTGCCTCTCAGGAACACATTTACAACCTTCCAGTAAAGGTGGCAGAAGTTTCCATCTGTGATTATTCACTCATGAAAGTCGACATAACTGAATATACGTACAGCTGTAATCAGAAAATTTTACCTTCTGATTTAATGGCGATATAGTGTCTGTTGCAGAATCAATGGGAAAGATCTGGACCTTCTGCTCAGTATACGTATGAAAATTCAGAAGAGCTGTTACAATTTCTTGCACAAAAGACAATGCCTGGCCAGCAAGGTCTCGCAACTTGAGCTGTGAAAACAGTTATAAAAATGACTGCATGACATGAACCTATTTAAATACAAAAAACATTCTATGTTCAGATACAAGAAAAAGGCTATGACTTCTTTCCTTCTAGTTCAACCTATAACAGTAAAGCAATCATTTATAATTTTCCTTAAACGTTTTTAATATACTACAACACAATTTAGAAGTGCATGTTTTTCTTTGATAAAGTGTATTCTATACAACAAATGGTGACTTTGCTCTACTTTGCTCTACTCAAACTATGGGCCATAAGAACAATGGCAGTTACTATAAGGACAGACTTCTAAAGATCAATAGATTAATTACTGATGACAGCTCAGTTCTGTAAGCATGGCAACACTGAGAAGTTTATAACAACTTGCTGTAAGGGAGCTTAACTAGGTACTGAAAAAACAATGGGATAAAGGAATGCTTATCCTGTTCAGTAGAACTCAATTCTCCCACCTGGACAGAACTGAGCTGCTGCTCTCATTAGGCTGTTCTTTAGTTTTACTGCAGCAGGAAGGTATCTGAGAAACAAATTCAAAATGGAGCAGTCCAAAAAAAAAAAAAAAAAAAAAAAAAAGCCTACAAAGGCAGTGAAGAAGAAAACCATGTTCTACTGTGGATGTGAAAGACAGAATAGTATGACACTGCAGACAAGAATGAATTATTCTTTGGTGATGAGCTGGTAATACTTCAATGAAGTTTAAATGATGTGAATCTATACAGTGGATCAGGTTTAGAGGGCAAATAACAGTTATTATACTCAGTCTGTGTATGTCAATTAGTTTTGCAAGGAAGGAAAACAGACCATTACAGTTTTTTTGCTGTCTTTTATGCTGCAGCCAGCGCTTCTACAAAAGAATGGCAGAGTCATAAAAATCTGTCCCAGAACATTCTCAAAATTGCAGACCATTAAATGTGAAGTTCTCTCACAAAGGACTACCACACAACTGTAAAGGGATAACCTCCATGCAGTTATTCAGATTTTTTTCTGGTACTCAGCAACAGGCTGAATTAAGACCATTTCCATCACAGAGCTGTACAGCAGGTTGCCATTTCTCGATGCAGGCTTATGAGGAACAAGATCACTTACAGACAGATCTCCAAGAAAAGGAGAAAGAAGCTATCTGAAACTCTTTTACAGAGAAATGTGAATGCACTACCTCAAAGCTTCTAGCTACGTAAGTTGGACTAACCACCTCTGCATCATGGAGTCCATCCTCATTGATAGCACAGTCAGTACTGACAAAGAATCTCATTTACTCCAGTTAAATCCCTAATACATATTGGAATTCACACAGTACTGTGGTGCATTTTTGAATATAGAGCAAATCATCTTCCCAAGGAAGATGAAGGAAGTTGGTGATATTACAGCAGTGAACTCAAACTGTTTGAAGTCATTTACTAATATTTAAATGATCAATTTACTAACATTTAAATGATCAAGGGGAATTTGGCTGCAATAAAAAGTGACTTGTCTAGAAGTATTTCATAAAATGCAGATGCATCTCACAGAGTTCTCAAAATTACACGATTTATTCCCTGAAAGGATTACAAGCAATGACAAGTAATATTAACTCATATAATATTCTAGTGTACAACCATGCATTTTACAAACCAAAACATTCTTTGGAGCTCCAGTAATGCAACTAAAGAAGCTGACTTTCGATGAAATGGAATTTAAGGTAACAAAACTTTCTGTTTTTCAACAAGAAGTTTAAATCCTCTAAACTAAAGCACCTTTAAAAATAAAACGTTAGATTTTAAACAACGCAGGTTGGTGCTGTAAAAAATAACATCTCATGTAACTTTTACTGAAGAAATACTTGAGCCTTTTTACCACTCTTCCTACGGAGGTATAAGTGAATTAAAACCTACAACAATCACCATCTGGGAATTAATGGACTAGGTCTAGGTCAGGGTGAAATGAGCAGTTAAGTATTAATAACCCAAGAGAAAAGCATCTTTAACAAGTGCAGAGGCTTTGTGGATAGAAGCTTTCTTGGAGTGCCAAGTGAGACAGGCCATCTTCTGCCACCTTGGGTTGCTAAAATGGCAGGTTTTATTCAATACCCGTGCAGAAAGTTACTTCTTTAAACATGAAGTCCCAAGAAGTGCTTACCTGATATCTTCTGTTGTGCAACGGTACATTCAGAGCATTGTACCGATTAGATCCTACAGGGCAGAAATTGAGATGTGTACTTATTAAGACACTTTTTTTTTAATAAGAGAAACACATTTATCGGTATACAGCAATTTAAATGAAAATTTCATTGCAGTAACATTATAGTTCATGTAAGTAATAACAAGAAACTGGAAAAACTTATTTAATGAGGTTGGACTAATCACTGCCACTCGAGGATTGTTACTGCGACTAAGTGGAGAGGAAGTATTTCCATGTTCATCTTTTAAAAGTGATTTAATTACCTGAAAACCCTAAATTTGAGAGGAAACCTAAGACTGCTCTTCTGTGCAAGAAGTCTATTATTATTATTATTATTTTCTACTATGTAAGAGTGAGCAGTCTTTTTAAAAAAATCCTCACAAAATTTAAGATCTGCAAATTTCAGTTACATCCCAGCAACTGTTAAATAAGATTGGTGTACTCTTCCCACTGTTTGTGTGCTCTAAAAAGCTCCTCTACCTACATCATTTGTTGATAATTTAGAATAAGATCTACTCTCCATGCATTTCAGGCTTTGTTTAGCTATAGAGCACCTGGAACGATTAGTCAAATAACAGATGAGCACACTTATAAAGAGGCAGAGGGATATTTGTACCCAATGAACAGCTTACAAAGCCTAAGCACTTAAAGAGAAACAGATCCATTCTCAATTAAATGCAATAAGCACCACTTTAGTTTAAATTGGCATAAAAGAAAACTTACAGCTTCTTACTCTTTTTTCCTGTTATTCACAATGGAATCCATAGCAAACAAACATTTCCTAACTTTCTCTCATTCTTCTGTCACTTAAAAGCTTTCCATTCCTGCAATGCTTTCTACACAAGCAAAAGTGTGCTATGTGATCATGGCAGTTGAGTAAGCAGATAAACTACTTGCATCCAAGATCTTGCTACAAGGACAACCACCTGTAGATATCAGCCAAAGCAGGCAGAGAAGCATAAACAAGAAGACAGTAGGCAAAGCTCCCTACTTGTGAGAGGAATGAAGGGGAATGAAGGGATATCAACTGAAAGCACTGATATCTACGCATATTATGCTGTACGAGGGTCAATGTTTTCTAAAGAGAAGGATCTGTTTATTTCTTTACTTTTTCCACTCCCAAGCCAAGACTCACTGGATTGCCAGCACAGAACCTGGATGGCTCACCCTGCAGCACCCAGCCAGATCAGCTTCTAGAGAACATAAGACTATTTTGAACATTTTTCACAGAGCTTAGAACCTCACGAAAATGCAAAAGCTTCTACCAGTAAAACCTATAAGAAAGACAACAAACAGCCTAGTTCTGCTTTTCCAAACTACCTTACCAAAACCAGCTTTTGCACTATTCCAGATCCTCCTACTCTCACTGCCAAAATAGTAGAGACTGACATATGCCTAAGCACAACCTCATTTTCAAGCTATTGAAAACAGCACCCAGCACTCATCTTGCACATATTGGTTTTGGTACCAAAATAGTCCTTCAGGTCAAAAGTCCCTGTTCAAAAAAATCAAAGTATCTTTTCCTTGGAAATATGAGTGAGCCCAAGATAAAAGATGAGTAAGTAGTAATCTGAGTGTTTTCTAATCAGAGGTGAGAAATGTGACAGACTTCCCACAAAGCACAGATCCTTACTTAAACAATATATTTCCATTGCTACTAGCTTATCTTTGGTTTAACAGGATTTTAAATACAATCTACAGTAACACCCTTTCAAATGAAAACCTGAACAAGTGGAGAAACTTTCATCTTTCACAATACTGTCAACACTAAGCAACACAAGCAGCAAGTTACTAAAAAGCCTTTTAAAGTTTCAGTTTTCATTCTATACATAACACTTGATACTTTAAGATCACTAAACAAAAAGATGAATGTCATCACAGAATGGTTTGGGTCGGAAGGGACCTTTAGGAATACAAAGTACAACTAGCACCAGGTACCTGTTTAGATGCCCAACTTTTCTTACATCTAATGCATTTTAATTCTTACAGTGCATTTCCTCCAGATGAACACCTAATAGTAAAGAGGGCTAAAAAACACACACCAAGGCAATACGTACTTGTGTCATTAAAAGGTACTTTTTCATTGATTATGCATAGAGATTCTTCCAGTCGACTGCCCAAAGCTGCTTGAAGATTCTTTAACTGCTGCTGACTAAATAACAGAACAAAAACACAGAAAAAAGCACCACATACACACTGTAAAACTTTAAAAGTTAACCTGTTTCACCACCAGCTTAGCTCACCCTAAGCAACCCTTGAGTGCGCAGGACACGTCTCTCTCTGATGTCAGGAAGAGGAGAGTTACAGTCATCCCTTCTCCTTTGTGTCACATTTACAATACGTGAATGTATTTTAATCATTAACAAACACATTGAAAGATGCAACAAAACGCTGTAGATCCCAAATTGCATTCTCAAGTTAAAGTTGATCTTCACATTATTATCCAGTCCCACAGTTACTGCGTGTTGTATAAAAATGTTATTTCCTACTGAAATTTGAATGGGAATGCAAAAGGGCCTCCATGTTAGCTAACACATACTTGATACAGTATTTCAACATACAAGCAGTGAAATGCTGACAATTCAGTAAATCACCACATCATCATTAGAAGTATCTTGAGAGCTTTTCAAAGCCCCCTATTTAAGCATTTTTACCACAGCACTTGTTCTCCCAAGATCTTGCAAATTGTTCTGATACATTCTGAAGCAATTTTTCCTTAGATCTGCTTCACTTGAATCTGATTGCATACAGAGAGGCAAATCTGAGTTATTATGACTGTTAATATCTCTAGGATAGAGATGAACAGTAAACTACTCCAGCATTATATACAAAGATTATTGAGTGTTTATTTTTCCAAACCAAAATTCTACACCTTACCCAGCTTAGGCCCTCAAAATCTTCATGTTTTGTTTCCAGTTTGACATCTAGAACCCCTGTACATATATTGGAGGGTAGGAGGAAGGTGTCAAAGCAATAGTTTGCTTTTTCTTTCAATAAAACATTGAAATACATGGAATTTTATCAGGACTGACAAGAATCCAAATAGACAAGCAATATATGGAGAAACTACCCAGTAAGGAGCCCATGCACATTAACACAGATCTTTATTGAAGAACAGACCCAAAACTGCATAGAAACTGTATAATATGAAATACGGTAGCATTAAGCATGACAGAAAAACTCAGATTGCAGAAGTACAGATGTTTCCCTCTTATAATAAAAAGGAATAGCTTATAATTTACTTGGTAAGTTTTGCTTCACATTTTGCCCTCTAATTTCCTAGGCATGCACACTGTCAAGTATTATATCCCTCGCCTTTCTAGGACAAAGCTTGGATCTCAAAGGAAAATGGATCCCTTCCACTAAAAAGCTGGGGAAAATACAAGATCAGTGCTTCCATGAAGGAATATTAAAATAATGATCTGTTGAGCACTGGACATAATGGCTCAAATCACTCAGTATCAGGCTTTATTCTCATGAGTCTCCCTTCATAAAGAGTAGGGACAATTTCTTACAATAACATTAATTACCCAGTCAGACACAACAGATATGTTTAAAATTAAAAGTAGATTAGGATAATGCTCTTCTTTTTTTTCAACTTCTCTTAAAATAATCCCCCAAAACTGCAAACAAGCTGCAGTAATACACAGCTTTCATCATCTTTTAAAGTCATTCACAGGTGAATTCACAATGATTGTTTAATCAGAGTTCGTAGAATTCAACTATCCTTATACCTGCCAAAATAACACATACACTTCCAAGATTACTATTGCATGGAAGTTTTTCATCTGTCCACTGAGCATTACTGTGCATTTTATCCATCTCAATAAGGATCCACATGGCAATTCTTTTTTCTAAATGCACCACAATAAGAAACTTCAGAGAAATACACCCTAACTTGACCTGGCCCGCAATTTAATTCCCCATTTTCTACAACTTGTCTTCAATACAGTAAGACTATTCTAAACTAGCAACAGAATCCTTGAGCCAAAAAAACACCAAAAAAAAAAAAAAAACAAAAAAAAACCACCTCCAAACATTCCAGCTGAATGTTCTACCTGAAAAAAAAAAGCTACTGTTCAGGAGGCAACGGAGGGGGAAAGTGGGTAGAACAAGAGGGAATTCTTAAAGCTCCATAGTTGGTTGCCTTGGTATCTTACATAACTTTTCTGAGGCTTTTTGTTGTTGTTGTTTGTTCCCCCCCACCTTCATGTGCAGCTTTTAAAAACTCCTATCTTAGTTTCATGCAAGTTCAGTAGCCCCTTTACAGTTGATAGTGTTCAATCACAAGCACTCATCTACTTCACAGCTACCTAAAGCATTCCAGCAGACAAAATCGTTTATTAAGTGCTGCTCTGGATCTGCTTGTCTAGACACACACAGAATGAAGAGGTCAAACCTGCACCACCTTGATGATATGCTGTTGCCTTTTATTTTCTATTTATCAATTTTTTTTTTTTTAAACATTATCACTCTTTAAAAGTAATCAAGTCAATCTTTCAAAGCAAGTTGTTGTTATATTAAATAAGAACACTTACCATTCTTCGGTTCGAAGCCTACAGTCCTTAGCTTCTCTTTCTAGTGTCTGAGACTTGATCTTTATGCAAGAAGATAATCTCACAATGTAATTACTGACAGAGCAAAACATTTCAATACTTTTTAAACTCGTCACATAACAGAAAAGCTCCTTACTTCCAACTTGGATTTATCATTCTGCAGCTTTTCAATGGTATCTGTGTATTTCCTTGTTAAGCTGTCCACTACAGCTTGATGCTGGGCAGCATCAGTTTCCAGAACTTCCAGTTTAGTTCTCAGCTCTGCTTCTAAACGTTTATGCTGCTCATCTGCTTCAAAGTACTACAGCAAGAAAAGAAGAACCTTGCATAAGTTTCATTCACTGCAGAATCTAGTTCTGAGTTACACTGACGTTCAGTTTCAAAACAAGTACAAGCAGAAATTCTACGTTGTTCTTTACAGAAAAAAACTATTCAGGATCCAAGTACTTTCTGCTTACCAAAAGATCTGCAATATCAAACACTTAAAATCTTTCTGGTGGAATTTTGAGAAATTAAACTTGAACCACAAGGTTTTCTGCTCACATTTTTAAAACAAAGTGAAATGTATTCTTGACTCAACGATGGCAATTTGCAGAAAATACATGAAGCTTCAAAGCAGCTCCAAAACTGTACGTGAATCTAGAAGTTTCCAAATCAATATGAGCCACATGAGTACTTCCAGTAGATTTTCACCTTTTAGTGACAGCTAATTTAAGTGAGAAAAACATCATTATATGAAATTTCACACATGGTCTTCAGAACCTGAAGTTCAAGATACTTTCTTGTTTGACAGGGGAAAATATTTATAAGCAATACAGTCGGATCTAATCTACTATTGTGCATGCAAGGATATGCCTAAGCACACTACATTTTTAGGTGCTGTTTTACTCTCTTCATCATTGTTTGTGTGACTAGTTTTATCAACTAAAAAAAGACCGAAATCTTACTCACAAGTATATGCAGTCGTTCATTCTCTTCTATCTTCTTCTGAAGATCCTCATTGAAGACACTTTTCTGCTCTTGACTCAACTGAGATGAAGATTCTGCACTTTTCTAAAGGAAAACAGATGCATGCATCATCCCCAGGTATGTGGGGGTATCCCAAAGCACAATCTCAGGTGTCTGAAAATGCACTGCAATCACCGATTGCCAACAGAAGCACATGAACATGCATTCCACTGAAACAAACACCTCTAACACCACACAGAACTGCACACAGCATTAGCTTCAAAGCAGCACTTTTTCCTTCACGCTGTTTTTACTGTACTGAAGTAGAATGCTCATTTAGTGACGACTCAGGAAGCCTCTACACAGACTTTACATTCACTCTCATGAAATGGCTTCTATAGCAGGTTCAGGACATTACTTGAATCTCGCATGATTCCAAGCAGTCAGTAACATTAAAGTCTATGCTTCCTTAGTTCCAGGATCTACATATAAGGCACATTTCCCCCCATCAAGCATCCATGTTTAAGCTGGCCTGGTCATATGAAAGATGAGGAACAACCACAGGAAGCACTCTACACTCTGCCATCAAATAGTGCAAAGAAGCACAGGAGAGCACAAAGACTACGAAGTAGGACACCTGAAACACAGGCATATGTTCCCCTCTTTTTAAAAGGGCTGCAGTCTGACACAAATCATCCATCAGAAACAATCTAAATAGATCTAGATGCAATCTACTTCATCCCCCATCAGCAAAAATCATAAGGATGACATGGAATTTTGTACACTTATATTCAATAGAACATACTCAGAGAGACTCAACAGGTAAAACTACCTTTTAGATACATTCCATTTAATATAAAGACACCTTACAATAAAACAGAACTAGGTATTCTGGCAGTTGAATACAAAAGGGAAAAAAAAAGTCAGTGGTGATGGCTCACAAAGCTCTTCAAGCCAGGCTGAGATCCTTCCAAATTTGGAAATGTCTAGAGAAGCTGTAGGCAACATAACTTGAAATAAGAAAAGGACCAAACTGCATTTTGAAGAGTCCACTGTGGTTAATAACACAAATAGAGGCACTACACTTCTCAGTCAAGCAGATAACAATGCAAAGGTGTTCAGGGAAAGGAAAGGAAGATGAGCATATCAGTTGAGTGACTTCTTCAGCATCAGTCTTCAGAGCTGATATCGCACATTTTGAGGGATACCCAAAGAGATGAGCACGTACCTTGTTCTTCTTGCCCCTAGTTTCACTTAACGAAAGTTCATCTTGAAGTAACTCCACCCGTTTGGCAAGCTGCTGATTCCGAAAGGTCAGGCTGTCCATTTCTTGTTGCAATTTTCTCAGTGATTGGTCCTTCATCTTCAGTTGCTCCTTGGTGATGAAGAAGTCCAATTAAAAAAAAAAAAAAAAAAAACCACGTTATTTTAATAAAAAAAGCATCAAAAGAACTCATTAAAAATAGTCTTTCTTTCATATTTGAACCGTGACAAGTAAAAAACATTCTACTTCCTTTAGCTGCCTGCAGATCATTCTCAAGTAGATATTTAATTCTACAAATTAACCATTGAGAAGCAACCTTCCGCTTTCACAATACCAGCACCTGCAGAGACCAATGAACACAGCAGCCACAGAACAGAAGTTCTTACTAAGCTAATATCTTTATTTTTCTCTTCATAATGCCAAGTTCAAAAAACCTTCCATTCTCCTATTTTGCCACAGCTGAATACATTTGACATGAGCAGTTTTTGGATATTACCTTCAGAGATGCAGAGTTTGCTTGCTCATCCACAACCCCCTTTTTCAGTACTTGGTTCTGAGCTCGAAGCTGAAAAATAAAGAGATGCCACTAACTATGCAGGACAACCAAACAAAAGCCTCTCACTAGAATGTGCATAAAACATCATATACTCTCATGACAGCACTAGATGTGCACGCTTCTTACAGCATTCTGTTCAAGAAGGTAGTTCCAGGCAGAAAAGTTGCACCAAATTTGTATCCTGAACTGACAAGAAACACGATGTTATTTTACCAACTGAAATTCCTGAGTCAAATAGAATAAAATACTTACTATCATGAAGATTAGTTACTAAGATACAATTAAGGTTTCAAGAACTGTAAACAGCTAAGGAAAAGTCACAATCCTTGCTTGGATTCATTGCTACTTCTGCCTCTTCCTTCTTCTCCCCATAGCTGTCTATGACATTAAGAGAAGCTCAGAATAAACAGTTAAAATCTCTTTCAAGAAGAGCTAAGCTATACTTTAAGGAAAAATACATATTACCATACGTAGCAGCAAATAATCCAGAGATCAGCTCAACAAACAGCTGAAGAAAATATAACAAAGCATACAAGAAGTCCTCTCAGACTTTCTTATGAAGTTTACAAATCTGAGCTACAAATCACTGAGGTGAAATATAACACTCAAGAAGACTCTTTCCCAGTCACTTCACGGAGTACCTCTACCCTGTGGCAGTAAGGATACCAACAGCATCAGCTTCCCATTTCTTGATGATTGCTTGAATCCTGGTTTCTTTCTTCAATGGTAGATTGTATTCATTTGATATGTTTTAGTCCAGCTGTTACAGATACAAATTGAAGGGGTTTGTATAGTCCTTGGGAACACCTCTGGCAGAAGCATATAAGGCAAGATTCAATGTGAATCAGCAACAGCACACCTTCTCTGATGACTGAATATACTTCAGAAGGTCAAAACCCAATTGACATCACTAAACACAGGCTTTCACCCTTCAGTATTCCCATTGTGTTGCTAGGGCATCACAAAGGTAAGAAAAGAAACTCGCAAGAGCACCAGAGACTTCCAAGCACAAGGTGTCCCAGCAAGAAGAAGCACTGCAGTAGCTTTCAATTCCTCTTTCTGACACAGCCACTAAGGCAGCAACATGTGAGATGCAGAAATGAAACAGAATGAACTCGCTCAACTGTGCTGCATCAAGTTAACTACGCTGAAGTGCAATCCACCAAAGGCTGTCACAGATTGAAAGCTCTCCAACTACTGCTTCAATTAGGGCTGTGTGAGAGAGCAAGAAGCTGTAACTCAAAGGGAAGAAAAGTTTGAGAACACAGATCCTTCTTCTGGACTGCTCTGAACAGAGAGGGAAAATTATCCTTTGTCAGATACTTCTCTTATCACTTTGTGAATCTATTGAGCTCTTGTCTGCCCCATTCCCTGGCTTTCACACCGTAATCTGAGAACAGACACATAGCTTTACAGACCTACTCTCCTTTTCCACCTGCACACAATAAGCCACCAACTCTCCAACTGATTACTTGCATGAAATGAGTTACTTGGAAAGGTGATCCCACAGCGTTCTGGGGCTGTTCAGCAAAAAAAGGAACAGGAATAAAAAAAAAAATAGTTCCCACAGAGATCCAGTGGAACATTGCAGGCTGACAGCTGCAAGACAAAGTTAAAAGAACACTTCTGGACAATGCGATTTTAGAAGAGAGTGGATCCAGTAGCTGAAATATTCCAAAGCTACAGTCAGAAGGTCCACACAGCAAAGGAATTAAGCAGCAAAGTCCCTCAGTTACCTTATCCCGAGCCATATTTAATGTCCAAGGTACAGCAGAACCACTTTAGAAAGCAACAAGAAATATGAACAGACAACAGTTGTGACAGACAAAACCCTAAAATCAGTTCAGTTTCCTTAAGTGTTCCCACAAGGTGAGTTTAAGAAACACATATCTATCTGTGAATAATTTAGACTCAGTACAGTCATTTACAGCAGTTCCAAGAATAGTATTTAATGTGTTATTCTGTAATCTTGAGAAAAGTGTCAAATGCAGTCAGTGTCTTGTACCAAGCTCCTTTTGATGTAGAGACATATGAAAATTAAGTGCTGACTTTCTTTCTCAATGTTGTAGAAAAACTCTGATATTCAAAACCAAAGTTTCATCTTCTTTTCAGTGAACAAACAAAGAGAAGAGCTTTGGATTAACCACAACTCCCACCATCCAGGAAATCATTTCAAATGCACTGGAAAAAAAAAAAAACACTTTATCCAGGGACTTTGCGAACACTTCTGCAAGCAGCATAAGAAACAAGAAGCAGTCAGTCACCTCAGACAGCTGCAGAAGGATGGGAACAGGGGTAGGACAGATGTGAAGTCAAGCATCCTCATCGCCAAGAGGCTGCAACACCCCTGTGAGCACCCCGACTGCCCCTGACATCCACATCCACCAGTCTGAGCAAACTCAGCTGCAGGTAAGAGCAGCACAGACACACACTCAAGAAGACGGCTAAGCCTCACACCTGACTACGAAGTGAAAAGCCAAGGGAAAGCACGACTCAGCTCGCCTCCTCAGCGCTGCAGAACCACCTGCTTGTCCCATACATGCTTTGCAGACGATGCCACCTCTCCTCCCTGAGGTTTGACCAGCCGGCAGGCGGCACCACCGCGCTCCGCCCGCGTCTGCAAACCCACACCCCAGCCTGCCCTCTCCTCACAAACAGGCGATCTTCGGCACCCCCGTCACCTCGACCCGCACAAGCAGTAGCCGGCGGGAGAGCGCCGGGCAGCACCGGGGCTGCGCGAGGAAGGGCCCCCGGCCCCCCACAGGAGCAGCCGTTAGGCGGCGGCAAGCAGCGGCCGCGAGGGAAGCGGCTGGAATGCTCGCGGAAAGGCTCCCGATACCTTGGAGTATTCCTGAGCCAGCTTCTGGTACTTCCCCTGCAGCTCCGCGGTGGCCGCCATCCCCCCGCCCCGGCACGGCCGCACCGGCGCTAACGCAGCCGCCGACCCCGCACGCCCACCAGAGAAAGACGCACTTCCGGGTTCGTGCGGCGGCGGCGCGATGACGTCACCACACCGCCTCGTTCCCGCGAGGGCTGAGGGCGGAGCTTAAGTCGCCGGCGCCACCATCTTGACGCAATTTCCAAGATGGCGGCACGGAGGCGGGCGGGAAGGCGGGTTGGGTCGCGCGACCCCGGGGAGGCGGTCCCAGCGGTCGCCGTTGTCATAGCAACGGCCGCCGGGCCCTGCGCAATGCGAGCGCGGGAGGTCGGGCGGGGGCCTTGAGGCGGCGCGGGCGCCATTTTGGCGTAGCCCGGTGCGGGGCGCTGCAGCGCTGCCGCTCGCCCGGGTGGGGCGGCGGTCCGGCTAAGGCACGGCTGGCGCTAGGGGGAGCCCCGGGCACGAGCCGACGGCCGCCTGCCAGTGTGCCTGTCCGGGCTGTTGGATCTACCTGGCGCTTGGGTCATCCTGTGGGTCAGGCGCTGAGAAGGGAAGGGTGGCCAACTGCTGCAGTGCGAGCAGTTTGCTCGCAGCCCGCGGTCTCAGGGTCCATTTTCAGTCTTGGCAGCCTGTGATTCCCCGGAGCCCTTCTGTGCCACCTCGCGGGTCCCTTTGTTTCAGAGCCGCGTTTATCCTCACATTTGGCGTTTGTTGAGATGCGTGTACGCCATCGGCGCTCTGCATCGCAGCCAGTGCACTTAGTTATGCCAGACATCTCTCTCGTAAAGAGTTCTGTTTTCGAAAATGCCTGAGGACAGGTGTGCAAGGAAAAGAAATAGTAAGGCAAAAAATGGTGCTACACCAGCGTGCTGTGAGCGCCTGGTGATGTGCAGGTGAAGGGCTGCCTAGTTAAGGATGGACATGTAAAAGCAATTCATTATTTTTGTGTAATTTCAATGGAATCATTATTTTCCACTGAATTCTAATGTGGTGTCTTCATAGTCCTTCAGCAGTAGGCAGTGCTAGCAGTGCTAAGTGACCATTTTCATACCTTCTTTTCTATTTGCTTCCTTTTAGAGGGAAGTAGTCGCCCACAATGGGTCCTTCTCTTCAGCCTTGAAGCTGTGATGGTGTGTGCTGCTGTTTTTCTCATCACAGGAGCAGTGTTGTCAAGCACTGAATAGGGCATGGCACTCAGCTTAGTAAATATGTTTGTATCTCCGCAGGAATCCGTGTGTTGGAGGACATGTCGCTGATCTGTATTGCCACGAACAGAGACTGCATGTTTTTAGGAAGTCTAAAAGAGGGCAAAAGCAAAAGACATCACTATTCACCCCAGTGATTTGCTGCTGTTCTGACTGACCACAAGAGCTCAAATGGCTTTACAGGAGTAAATAATCTCTAACATTTAATAGTAGACTCATATTACACTACTACTCCATTTTGTATTCCTTACTGAAGTTCCTAACAAAGTACTTGGAAGCACACTGCAATTGCTATTCAGCATACAGGGGTTAATCACAGCCCGCTTCACATGGCACATCTTTTAACAGCTCAGTGTGGTAAATGTTATACTGGTGAATTATTGAAAACCTTTACAACTAATGCTAAGCCTGTATTTTCAGGTTTGATTTTCTAGGATGTATCTTTCATGAAATGTTAGATTGAAATGCTTTGAGCATATGTTGCAAAATGTGGCACTCCCATTTTGTGATGAGTTCAAAGATGCTTTTGTGATAGAATTTTCTCTTTACGACTGATGCAGTGAATGCTGACAGAGAGGTTTCACAGCAGAAAGCTGGGAAAGAGAGCTGATGGACATAGGGTGTGTAGCTGTAGCTGAGTGAATTGCTTCCCCACTGACTGCTGCAGTGACTGATTGGTGGGGGAACATGGACTTTATCGACTGCATCCATGTAGAATAGCAAGATCCAAACATACGTTCTGTCATATAGGGTCTTTATCATAGGAGGTAATACCAGTTTCTTATAACACGAGCAGATTGAGTGGATCAAAAGATAGGTGGTCTTACTGCTGAAAGGCTGTAAGGCTGAGAGCTGACTTGAGGTTTTTAGGCTCATCAGAAACAGGTCTACTTCAATGCATTTTGAGCACCAGGCTGGCCTCGTGTATTTCAAAAATGCAACGTCTCCTAATCAGCTTCTCATAGATCATGCATGAGAATAGTGCTAGCAGCATATAGTGTAATTTATCACTGTTCTGTGGTGGTACTTGGTAAAAAGGTCAAGTCAAAGTTCCTCAACCATGTATGTAAAAGAAAGTTTATTTTTTTACTTTCTCTTAGCAGATTGTCAGATTTATCCTTTTGATTTTGTCATTGCAATTATTTGCAATGCTATTTCCCCTTCTTACAGCTCTGAAAAACTTCTTTGTTGTGCTGTTTCCACTCAGGCACTTTCTTAATATCTGCCTTCTTCAGAAAGCAGGGCTGTCCAACCACTGCACTGGGGAGGTGCACAGCACATGCTGCTGCAGTGCAGCGTAGCCAGTGATCCGGTGTGTAATTGTGTAAGATTGACTCTGTCATCATAACATCAGAGCAAGAAAGGTCGACTGGGTAGAATGCCAAGTAGCGTGTTGCGGTTTCCAAAGAACCCCCAAAATATTGTCTTCTGCAAGTCCACCCACATGAAAAAAAGAACACATTACCACAGCAAAACTTGAAGCAAGCTGAAGCATGTTGAACAAAATAATCCCTTACAAGGGTCATATAGCATTTGTGCTTGTCTTGTTGGCTCTCACTGGGGTGAATAAAGAGCCAAGGATATACAGTGGATCACAGGTTGTCCTTTTTTCACATCTGCACCCAGCAGCTAGTACAATGGGTGCTGAATTCTAGGCGGTGCCTCAAGATGGAGAATTTATTTAGGAATTACAGTGATTGTTAGGATATGTTCCATTTTCAGGCTCATTTATCCTCCACTCCTTGCTCAACAGTGCTTTTGCCTCTATCTATCTGCTTAATCAGATTGCTTATCCTGTAAATAAGTGCATATAGAGAAATAAACAACGAATGTATTTTCAGTCACCCAGGATGTTTTCTGTGCTTTGTGAAAAATAAACTTCATTGTCATCGCTTGCATGCTTTCAAGTCTTCACAACAAAAGGGTTTCTAAGGTCTGGAAAAATTTCAAAACCTTTTGGAAAGAAGCCATCTTCAGTCTTCAACTATCACAAGAAATGCATAAACCACATCCTCAGAAGCTGCAAACACCCTAAACTGGTGTTTTGTTTCTGTTATCTTAGCAACGGCTAGTATGAACAGCAGGATATGTGCTCACAATGTGCACTCGTTATTTCTCACCATGACTCTGTAGTGAGCCTTTTGTTATAGGCAACCTTTCACCTTGCTCAAAATCTGATTATTCTGATAAAATATAAGAAAGCCAAGCACTCAAAGAAGTGTGACAAACAGAAAAGCACTTCACAGAACAGTTTCATTATCTGTAGTCTTCACTATCATAATTTCAGGGTTTCCGTAGCATTTAAAAATAGAAATGAAAACAAGCCTCTGCCTCTCGTGCCCCTCCCCAGCCCATAGGATAAGTAGCTTGAATCATTTATAGGGTGTGTGTATGACCACAGGAGCGGTGCCTTTGCGCAGAGAGAAATGACTGAGAACAAGAGTACAGAACAACTGAGCAAGCAGGGTGCCTGTGATAGTTCAGGGCTGACTGCAGCTCATGGCAGTTCTCTTCACATGCTCCAAACTCTTCTCCTTGGGGCTTGGTTCCACTGCAGCACAGCCCATACCAGCCCATGGTGCAACAGCAGTGACTTGGGTATCTTCACCAAAAAAAGAACAGCCATAGTGACTTTTGCTCCACTTAACCCCAGAACTCTGCAACAGCTGAGAATGGTTTGCTTCCATTTTTCTCAAAGTGGAATTTTGTCTCATCCAGGCAAACGCCACCTCTTCCCTCACTCTACCATCTTTTGTTGGAGGGCTACTCATATTCTACAATCTCAGTTCCTGCTTTTCTTCTTTTGGGGGAAAACGTTGACCCAAAGCAGTCCTGCTGCACTCACATTCCAGTGTTGCACTTTCACAGGAGAAAAAAATTGCAGACAGTGTGTCTTATTTTCAATGAGCCAAATTAACCAATTTCATAGAAAAAGATAAAAGAGCTGAGGATTACGGAGATTTTAAAGTGAGAAGTAAACACTTTTTCTTGTACATAAGGTGTGGACAGAGACCTGCAAGCCACTGAAAACAGCTCCAACTAACCTACGTGAGTGACAGCAGCAAAGCAGGAGCTGTATCTGCAGTAAAGGTGGCAGG